AAAAAAAAAGAAATATAGATATATATATATATATATATATATATATATTTATATTTATACTTATATTTATACATATATATTTATATATATGTAACGAAATCTCGCCTGGTCAGCGGAGGCTGGGTTCCGAAAGCATTGTAGAAGCTCGCTAGAGCCGAAGAAAACTCAACCAGAGCCGCTACGACGGGACCTAAGCCTACTAAGACACTAAGACCCCCAAGTATGAGCGAATGACTGAGCAAATGAATTGTATGCACATCTATAGGGTCAGTACATCCAACCTCGTCCTCTTGCTGTGTGTGACCAGCAGCCTCCGGGGTGAGCGGGATCGCGGCGCAGGGCAGTGCACAAGTTCTCCAGAGTGCCAAACTCAGGCACGAAGCCAATCGACTACAGGTAGGATTCACTAACTGAACGCGCCCTCACGCGACGAAACATCACGTTGAAGCTGTCTTGCTTGCTTGTGCGCGAGGACTCGCTAAAGCCACCGTGCGGATACACCGGGTCTCCGACAGCGTTGGACATGAACTCCTTCGGCTCAAGTTTCTAACAAAGACTATACATAACAAAACTCGTTTCCTGAGCGAGTCTCACGCAGACGCTGAACAACAGCTGTGATGCAGTGGTAAAATAGAAATCAGGGGCACAGGAAACGAGAAGCTCGACACTGCGTCTGGGAAGAGATCAAAAACCAAGCCATGGCTACATGAGTACACACAGTGTCCTGCAGGCGTTCAAAGTCAGGACCGCGAGCATGCTCGATGCAAGGGACCTGCATCTGCGTCGAGCCCGGCTCACAAGTTCATAACACTCCAGTTCGCAGCAAAGCGCGAGCGCGAGTCAGAGCGAGAGCAAGAGCGAGACAGACAGAGAGATGAAAGAGAGAAAGACGCAAAAGCAAGAAGGAGACAAAAAGAGAGAGACAGAGACAGAGACAGAGGCATAGGCCTGGGCGCACTCTTATTCTGGATCCACGCTTTTTCCTGGACCTTCGGGAGTTCTACAAACCGACTTGAAGCCCACTGCAAGGACTGCGATAGGATGTCGCGGCTCGCGAATATTCACTAAATTCAAGACGAAAGAGGAGACGCACAAATCAATCAGGAGTATGTCACAAGAAAAAACCGACACCAGCATATTCGGAAACTCCCAGCATGGCCTCTGCAAAGCTCACCGTTTCGGCTGCGACGCTCGCCGGGCCCAAAGCCTCACGCTCAGTGTCTCATATCTCTATACCTGCTTATGGGAACACATGCAGAGATGGGCGACACGGCGAAACAAACAGAGACAGATGGAAAAAGAAAAGCATAAAGCCACAGGTATACACACAGCTCTGTGCCACAAGCAGGCAAGCATGCACAATGAACTATACACAAACAAAGTTATGTGTATGTATACATATATATATATATATATATACATATACAGCATATATATGTATATGTATATGCACATATGTATGTAGATCTATGTATCTATGTGTATATATATATATACATATATATATATATATATTTATATTTATATTTATATTTATATATATACACATGTATGTACCTACGAACGTACGTATATAGGTATGTGGGAGATGTGCGCTAGTGTACATCCGCATGCATGATATCTGTGAGTACGCGTGTATGCGTACATTCTGCTCCCTACCGGTATATCATGTTGCATTACGCCCTATGATGGTCTTCTGCGAGGGAAAAAGGATCGAAAAGAGTAGAATTGAATAGGTTTACAAAGGAAGGAACAGAACATGATATCATAGGACACGGTATGCAACAAAAACCATCGTACAATAGGATGCAATACAACATCACGTAGCACAGTATGATTTCACAAAACTGCGTGTCACGTAAAGAGAAAAGAGAAAAATGATACGACATCATGAAACACACTTGTATATTACTTTTGAGGATCAAAACCGGACATGTGTATACATCTCTATATATATATACATATATATATATATATACATATGTCCTCTATGTATATGCAACGAATATACATCTGTACATGTACAACCGTACATACTCTTTATATATATATATATATATACATGTGCTACATGCATATATGCACACACATATACGTGCATGTTCGTCTCTGTGTGTGTGTGAGACTTCCTGCGCGTGCATACGAACATGTGTCAGATTCTATCGGTGTAGCTGTACTGTGTATAGTATAGATGTATGTACATATAAACACAAGCAATACTTTCAATTGCACGAGTATATGAAGACAACATATCGGCACATATACACGTACTTACTCATCTAGGCACATAAGCCTATATGCATAGGTTCACAAATCCGTATGCACATAGATTGACATAGATACCAGGGTACAGAGGAACATGGGCGGTTATATATGCAAATCAATTCATTCCTTCGTTCATGTATTCATTTGTTCATTCACACAAACAGACGGACAGAAAAACAACCACATACTAACAGACAAACGGACGTACGGACGGACAGGCAGAACATACACAGACACTTCTATCGCACATGCATACAGACAGCAGTTGTGCTCCAATGTTTTCGGCTTATTGAAAATCATTTGAGGAAACTGCAGCTGTTCTTTCTTGATCGGCCACGCCAGTGTAGCTGCAGAGACTGTACCGATAGATGCCGAGATCACAAACCTAACAGCACCGCAGATGCAACGACGTGCATGCTGGCAACCCACTAACACGAAACAAGCCTTCGACAGCGCGGCTTGCAATTTGTGGTTCTCGCCAGCCTGACTGCCAGTCACACAACCGTTGACTAGGAAGTCCCTCACGACGGGTTTGCATTACCAACTCTGCGCGTTGAGCATCATCCTTCACGAGGTTTACCCCAACTACATTGGAAGAGCTGCCCTCTCAGAATGCCGCAGCGATTTAACACAGCATCTTGTCCATGCAAGATGCACCGGGCGAGGAGGGTCCAAGCACCGTTCGCGCCTGCCGTGTCAATGCGACGTACACCTCACCTCCGGCTCTTGGAAAGCGGACATCAAAACGCACCGAACAACCCGCAGTCGGGAGCAGCACGATGCGGCTACGAGGTCTCTCTCCAGCACAGACACAATGCCGACCTGCTTGTTTACAAGACGAATACTCCTACTTGAGATAGCAGCCTTGAGAGCGAGAGAGGGAGAGAGCGAGGGAGGGAGGAAGGCAAAAAGAGGTAGGGAGAGTGAGACAGACAGCGAGAGGGAGAGACAGAGAGAGACAGAGAGGTACTGAGAGACAGAGAGAGAGATAGAGAGATAGTAAGAGATAGATAGAGAAATAGATAGAGTCATAGACAGATATATATATATATATACATAAATAGATAGATACATAGATAGATAGATAGATAAATAGATAGATAGATACATAGATAGATAGATGCATAGCTAGATAGATGGACAGATAAATAGATGGACAGGTAGATAGCTAGCTAGCTAGCCAGATAGATAGATAGACAGATAGATAGATAGACAGACAATTAAAAAAAAAGATAGCCAGAGAGAGAGAGAGAGATAAGATTAGAAAGTGATACAGAGGTAGATAGAGAGATAGATAGATAGATAGATAGATAGATAGGTAGATAGATAGATAGATAGTTAGATAGACAGATATGTGGATAGATAGATAGGTAGAATATATTATACAGATCAACAAGAGAAGAAATCCCCCGGCAAATGCACGGGCAGCGGTGCCGTCTGAGCCCCTGAACGGGGTCACGACACAAACGAAGCACGGAGCTCCTAAGACGTGATGGCTCCACGCACGGCAGACAGGCGGGAGACAACAAGTGGATCAAAGACACCGGAAGCGCCGCGGCTGCATTGAGACTGGGATGTGCTATTGGTTTTGGATTGTAGAAGAGCCCAAAGCCGCGACACGGGATACAAAGAGCACCACAGCGGCATCCCAGAATAGGAGGCTGTGTTGTTTATTAGGAAAGCCCAAAAGGCACCGCAGATACGGGGTACACATGAACGTGAACACGGCTGCGAAATGCATATCCTGCGAGCCTGCCGATCCACCACTCACGGTGGCAAATGTGCTGCCTCGCAGGACAAGCAACTCCAGCTTGGATCTTCTCAAGAGGAAGCAGGAAGCTAAAGCACAAGGATATGCTTCCGCGGCAAGCTGTAATCGCTGTAGGCTGTAGCCCTTAATCTTAAACTAACAAAGCGACATGTTCCGACTGCACCTCTGACATACACACTAGCACGAGCTAGCACACTCACACACATACACACACACACACACACTAGTAGCCCGGAGCCTGGCCAAGTCGTGCTTCGCTGGAGTCTGGGGCGAACATCCCAAACGATGACCCAGAGTAGCGTCGCGGGCCATAGCAACCGATCCAACGCGCCAGTTGGGCGAGGACGCATCCCGCTTTTTTACTGCTATACTTGCGGTTTCTGCAATACATGGCGCTTGGCTGTTTATACCAACATTGCATGTCAGTTGTGCCGCAAGGGTTGGTCCGATACTTGTGGAGCTCGTGAGCGCCGGACAGTCGTTTTTTGAATGAGATAGTTGCTGGTAGCACTACACTGCGGCTGACAATAGCAACAACAGCGACAACATGTAGGCATAATGATAGTCAGAAGCATCGGAAAGTACATGCTCACACGTGATCTCGAAAAGGGGCGACGAGCGTTTGTTTCAGACTCAAGCTCCTTCAGATGGATGAGTACCTGTACAGCATCACTCTCTTCCACCTACAGAAACTGAAACCCGAAGCCTGAAATCATAAACCCGCTACGTTCTGGTGACTCTGCTAGCGCAGAGGGCTTTCAGTCTCTCAGCCAAGGTTGGATTCATGCACTGCAGTCTCAGACTGTGGCTTGGCGCTTTTTGGATTTACAAGCAGCCTGGTTCTGCCGTTGCCGGAGCAGGCACACATCCCTGAACCTCAAAGCTGACAGCTCTGGAAATCTTCGAAGCCGAAACACAAGGAGAGCCTGGGTCCCGAGCATCACAACCTGCGCATCTTTTTGCGTCAGGCGCGGTTGATTTGCAGCAGCTCTGCCCGGTTAGTTTCCAGGTAAGCAGCAGCGGTGGCCTGCAGAAACTTCCGGCGGTTTATGAAACGTGATGGGAGGTGAAGCTACAGATTGATAAGATCTTGCTCACAGTGAACATCAAACTAGTTTCGAAGGATGCTGCCTCTCTCTGACCGTGTCCCCCAAATCCAATGCGGCAGTCCTCTTCGCCATCCTACTCTCCTCGAGGTTCTGACGTGTGGTGACACTGGCTTTGGACGGGAAACAAGCTTGGTCTCGCGGCCTTGAAATCTTCTTTCAAGACCTCGATGTTCATCATTTCGAGTCGCATGGTCTCCGACCTCACAGGACAGTTCGAGTCGGCGCTGACACCACCTGAACCTTAAAGCCGCAGACATGGTGCGGCGTTGAAGATACCATCCCGATCATCGAGGCACACATCTGATAATGTCTGTTTTGTCGAAGAGGTGAGGGTTGAATCATGTCTCTTGACCTTGTCCGTACTGTAACTCGTGCTGACTTCAGATCGTCCTAAATCTTTTAGGGAAGTCCGGGTGCACCACATGGCAATTGGCTTTGATGGCAACGGCGCGGTTGATGCCTGCGTCGTCAGTTGTCTTCTCAGATCTTTGGCATGCGCGAAGGACATGTAGGCCCAGAGGGTACATACGACTTCGTCCCGCGCTCATCCACACACACTTCCAGAGTTGGACTCCGGAAACTTCTCTGCTTGTCCCCGTTTTCCGCCAAAAAACACCGCCAAGCCGGCCTTGCCACTGCCCAGCACCCGATCGAAGCCCTCGTCTCCGAGCAGCGAACGCCGGACGCGGCGCCGGAACTCCTCGGGATCGGCCTCCAGCCTTAGAGTTGTTGCTTGACAAGGGCTTAGCTTGACCGGTCTGTGGTTTGGGAGTTTGGGACTCTGGATCTGGTTCTCGAATCACGAAGCCTCGCACCTCAAGCTCCCGCCCGCACGCCTGCGCACGACATGCGACTCGTCGCTCGCAAGTGCAGATGTTTTGGCTCATGCCAGAGCCCTCTCGGTCATCCCATCCTTCGGTACTAGTTCAGACATCTACACCTCCGCGTTTCCGAGTCGTGGGCAGTGCCGATGCCTCGTTGTTCAAGGCGTTCGCCACGCTGCAGGGTGCCTTTACCTTGGTCAAGTGGCTCGCCATCCGTCCCGGAGGCTACAGACCATCTCCAACCCCACTCTGCATTACCCCTTACAGCAAGCTCGCTTCTCCGCTCCAGGACTGCGGCCATCTGCGTCAGCGCCACCAGCAAAGACCCCAAACGAATCTTGCCAGCAAAACATGTGAAGTCAAGCGCGCGTGCAAAAAGTATAATCATCAAAAGATGGACGGCTCGTGGATCCGGTTTCTATGCGGGCGAGTGGCTTGCAAGACCCACACCGATTGTTCATATACGTCCACTAGCCAGGTCCAAGTCAAGCAATGCCGACTGTGCTTATCATACACACTTTTGGCTCCATAGTTGTAGAGACCGGCTGTAGTCACAGTGAACATTGCCACCGACGTCATCAACACCATAATCAGTAACATTGCTGCCATCATCGAAAGCATTATCCTCTGTCTCGTTTTGGGTCGATTCGAACTCCTGCACGAAGCGGTAGCACTGTTTTACCGTCATACAATGTCATACAATGTTGATGTCCCCCTATGTAGTCGTCGTCGGTGCTTCGCCACTTGCGGCAGCGCAGGCAACACCCGGGACCGGCCTCTTGCGACGCATCTCCGACCTCGGCATCGTGACCTGTCCCCAGGTTACATGTTGTACATGTTGACACAATGCTGCCGAAACAAAGCGCACCACTCTGGGGGGAAATGAGTTCTAACGGAACCCTGCTACTGATGACACAACCCGAAGTCTACACTAATAAGCCTACAGCTCGCTGAAGGGAGCTTTGCAGCTCTCAATCCTCGTGTTCAAAGACTCTTGTGCCTGCTATCTGCATTCCGTCGTGTCTCGGGACTCAACCCTGCCCAGCTACAGCCGCTTGGTCGTGGAAAACTCCTTCACGACCTAACAGATCACCTCCAGCCCTGATTCCGGGTCCTGGAAACGCCGTTGCGCCGGTTCGTGAGTCGATGCATGGATGGAAGATTCCTGGCTCTCGATGTCTGGGATTTGAAAACTTAGGGCTTACCTCATGGCCGGTGACTTCGTGGGATTGCGGTGGTGCTTTGGGGTTCACCACCGCAGGACTCAGATATACCAGGCGAAGCAGATCCCAACCCGCCGGGAGCGCGCTTGGTACAGCGGATGCTGACAGAGCCGGGCAGCGGGTACTCCTCGAAGACCTTGACCTGAGTATTCCAGGCGCCGCGGCACGCAACAGCTCAGACCAACGGCTTGCGAAAGCCGTGAAGCTACACGCCAACGAGCAGCTACGAACCTACTCAGTCCCGGGTGCAGAAACGGCATCGCGGCCAGGTTCCAGACACTTCGCAATGAAAGGACCACTGCCCCAGATCAAAATGCAAATGCTAAGTGCTGCACCCAAAACGTCAGCGTCGCAGGCGTGTATGGTCCCTGGGTTTCGATATGCACAGGATTTCAAAAATTGCACCTGGCAAGCTTGAGAGGGAAAACTGGAACCTCGCCAGAACCAGGTGCGCTTCGCACCTCGGCCACATCCATGGTGTAGAAGAGCTGCGCGAAGGCGGCTTGGCTTGGCCTCATAGCAGTGGCTTTGGCCATGAGGGTCACATCTGCGGTCTGAGGCCTTTGGCTTCGGGCCTCTTGCACGGTACAAGTAGTGAGGCTGTGTCCTCGAACAACCACAGCTCCCGGAGCTATTTTCAATCACAGTATTCTTCATCTTGTTGTATGAATGTGCTGACGGCTGTGGCTGTCTCGATCGAGTCGCACGGAACCGAATTAATGTGTCAATGCTCCCAGTGCAACTGCAATACGACGATAGCCATGGTAATGTAAACGGAACATGTCCGTGAGGAGCCGTGTATAGCAGTCGACCTCTGAACAAGAACACACAAGAGAACAGGAATTCAAATCATGACGTCAAGTAAAAGCAGTGAGAGCTCGTGCGAATGAGAACCCCCCGGAGGCCCTCAAATCTGAGTCTACGAACTCGAAACCTCTCCGCGCGTCCCTCGCCAAACCCCTGCTCACCCGAGGCTTTGGTTTCTTTATAGGCATGGAGCTCTTGTGAGCTTTTTACGAAACTCAATTCCGCGACATTAATGCAATGATTCTAAAGCCCAAGAGGTCATGCCCCGATTGGACTTTGGCACGGCATTTTCAAGCTCTCCAAGGCTGACAGATGCCAGCTTAAGCCCTGAATTTCCAAATCTCAGGCCCTGAATCCTGTCTTGCTCGGCCGATCTCGGCCGCCGACTCCAATCGACATCCGTGGGGAAGTCGCATGCGACCGATCTCCTTGGCAAGCAAAATCGGGCTGCCCGTGGCAATGTCGTGGAGAGCAGCAGCTAAGCCCTAAAGTCCTGTGCATGGTTTGCTTGGGGTGTTCCCACCGGCGCCCGCGCGCTTTTGGTCTGGGGGCACTCTCGACACAGAGGCCAGAACCAAGCCTGGTCCAGTGCCCCGTGCACACATCAATCTCAGCCTCTTGTTGCTTTCGCAAGAGCCCGAAGTCTGCCACACTGATTTTGAGAAGTCAGCTCTTATGGAACACAGGGAGAGACATATCGATAAATAGAGAACGGCGAGAACACAGCGCATCGACTGAGATTAACCATTCTTCAGACTGTATGCTCAGTTCCACTACATCCGGAAGCCCTCGTCAAACCGCTCAATATTGCAACAGATATGGCAGCAGAATGCAGCAGATATCCAGCCCTTCCTTCCAACGACTTTCAAAAACCTGGGCATCTTTCCATACTTCAATTCTCTTCGGTCCAGCGGCATGGTGAGCACGCTGCGCTCCCCTCAGGAGGTCTCCAGGCTCCTGTCAATTCATCCTTTACGGATTTTAGGCGAACTTGAGGACTCCCGGGAAGCTTGGGGCTTCGGGGCCAGTTGAGGCTCCAGGGTTTGAGTCCTCCCCTGGCATTTCCCCACGGCTTTGGAAGCGTCTCTCAAAGGCCACGGAACCCAGGGTCGTGCGGAAGGTCCTCGAGGACGGACTCGACGGTGGTGGGGTCTTCCTTTGCTGGATTTGGCAAGGGCCAGAATGAGCGAATTGAAAGCTACGCCAACGGATCCGCTGAGCCTTCCAAGTCCCGCACCCACTCCACCGAAGCCGTCGCCTGTGAGCTCGCAGGCCTAAGCAAGACACGTAACATGCCTTGATGCTGCCTGCTACTACAGTTGCAACCCCCATTGCTTCGCAAAACTACGAATTTCACAGCGCCACGGGCCACGCGTCCCCGCGTCACAGAGGCCCAGACGCAGTCGTGGACTCGGAGCCGCCAGTTGGGGGCCTGTTGCGTCGGATGCTCTCCGACACGACAGTATCATGCAAAACATCATCCCGACAGCGCCTGTGATCCACACCTGACGATGAAGCACCTGCCAGCACGGGACGCTGATGAATTCAGCCGCTTGGGTGCGGGGCTCCAGGCCTGTGCAAATGCTGGGCTTCTTCGACTCTACATTCGCATAGCTAAAGCTGGCACTAGCGAAGGCATGGGCCGGTTCGTTTGGATGACTTGACTAGACCACCACACAGGGAGTCTGCTGCGCACGCACGACTTCCACGACACAGCTCTGCCCTTTGCTGTCGCCGCCCGGGAGCCGCCTCGCCTCGGCTCAGTGGCTCGCCACGTCTGGCGAAGTGCGCACCGAGCTCCTGCGGTGGGCCACAGGGCCACAAGGTCATCCCTGCCCCGAGGCCGAGGCGAAAGGAAGCATCATTGTGTTGAAACATGCTTCCAGGCTGGAACAGATGAGGGTGAATGCTCCAAGCTAGGGCTGCGTAAGCAGGATGCTGTTGGATCTTCAGAGCCCAGAAGCAGATTGCAATCCCGCCACAAAGCCACGCTTCAGCCTGAAAGTCCCACTACCACAAACATTACAAGGGGAGCACGACTTCCCATCAATTCGCTCGACTTCCCTCGACCTCCAGCTCCCGGAGCTGCTCTTCGAAGTCGTCGTCTTCGTCCTCCAGGGTGCTCTTGGAAATGTTGCATCGACTAAAGTGCATCCGGCAATGCACATGCAGGACGTGGGATCTTGGAAAAGTTCGGGCAAAAGTGCATGCACCAAGGACTGTCTTTGCACTGACAAGGCCCTTGGGCTCTAGTTTTGTATAGATGAAGAGAGTGCTCTGAACACATCCACCAGTCCTAAACCCTAAACCTATATATATGTACATACATACATACATACATACATACATACATACATACATACATACATAAATATATACATACGTACATACATACATACATACATACATACATACGTACGTACATAGATGCATACCTACCTACCTACCTACCTACCTACCTACCTACCTACCTACCTACCTACCTACCGCCATACATACATACATACATAATTACATACGTGCAGCATGACTGACTACATACATACGTACATACATACATGCATACATGCGTACATACGTTACAGACATACATGCATAAAAACATACATGCATACATCCATGCATGC